AGTTGCGTAAAAGTTTATAAAAAATGGCACAATTATGACCTCAACCGAAAACAAAGGCATCACAACTGTATGTACATCAAGATAGGCTAAAGGTCTTTGTCGTCGTCACTGTTGCTTTACGACTCATTTAGCTACCGAGGCTATATGGCGTCACCTGCCTCTTACCCTGGCAGGAAGGGCGGGCACCGCGGGGGCTCGAACCCCGTACCTCTGGTTTCCCAGAAACACAGGGGTTTACCAGATGCGTGTACCACTGCACTTTCGGCACCCACAGATAGCTCGCAGGGAATAAACAACTTGCACCGACCTTTACAGCCATGGTCAAAATTTTGCGATAGCTCCAAAATTCAGCGAGTTATCACAGAAAACTGTGGAACCAAAAGCAAAACACCAATGTTAAGTCTATGGGACTACGGCTGATAAAGTGATTTTTATCAGTGCGTCTTGGGAATAAAGCAGTCGCTGGCTTTGATGTAAACCACAACCCAAACACACGAAACTGGTAATGTGATTTACATAGCTCCGCAACTTGTCCTTAAGGAATGGAAAAGGGCCATTGAAATTTTACCTTTGCTTGATGTGCTCTCTATGAAAGGACGGAATTACTTAACTTCTAATCTCTGGGATTTTCATTCCCAATTCATTTGCAATCAACAAATACGAAACCAAACTGAAGCACTACAAGCTGAGATTTAATGGAAAGATGCTGAAATGTTGAAAGGAAGTATGCTGAGATGTATAGGTACGGATATGAACGCATAATGTGTTTATCTTCCCAAACGTTTGATGTTCAAATGCGTTATGAATGCATAAGACTTGTTTATCTTCTCGCACGATTGCTGAACATCGCATTGCACATTTAAGGTAGCAAAATAAATCTATCTTTAATGAACCAGTGGCTGCATTTGCGCACAATTTGTTGCGATCTAGATTTAGGGAATCTCTCCCCCCCTCCCTCCCTCCCCAATTTAGAAAATAGTCGAATGTTAGGTCTTAGTGCTTCGATTCGACAGGAGCTGACCGAGCAACAAACACAACTTCAACCCCAAAAAGATTCCTGGTGCATGCGTCTCGCATTTATGCTGTTCATAGCGTTTGACCAACGCACGGGGACCGACGTGACCGTTCCGGGCGCGGCGGCCTGTGCAGCTCCCCCGCCTGGCGCAGCGAAGGGTTGGGGAGAGCAGTCGTAATCAAGGAGGCCATCACCCACCCCATCTGATCTGGCGAGGGGAGTCAGATGCTTTGAAATGCCGCTTTGAAATTGAAAAAAACTAACTTCGACCAGGGCTGAGCCTCAGGCCTTAGCATGGGTCACTACGAAGAATTACAGTCGGCCAGGAAGGGTCCTTAATAGAAGATCATCTATCGCTCCGCTGTAACGGTGGCATCCAGCGCTGGTTAACGTGAAAGTGCATCATTGCCAGTGACAATATTAGCGCGCATCACTCCACCATTCTGCAATAGAAGGCTGCTGGTACTGCGGTTGCTTCCATGCATTCCTGATATGGGATCTTTTACACGACTATCGCTTCTTCAGACAGCCGGTTTGTTCAGCTTCTTCAACTGGCATGTGTGAAATGTGTTCTGCTAACAATATAGCACCCGGATACTGCATCAACTAAGCTTAAAATATGCCCTCAGCAAGCGGACTTGGAGCAAGAGGATCGCTGCCAAGCCACCGGCCAACAAAGCGCATGTTAACGTTGTTAGCGATTCTTGTATGCATTTTCATGAAATCAAAAGAATGACCTCCTCGCCCTGATTCTCCGTTTTCCTAACGCGGACTGATGGGCAGAAGATACGACCGCCCTTGTGTTTCCAATCAGAATTGACGGAAAACACCAGTGGTTTGGTCTCAACAGCATCTCGCGATTGGTACTATTTTTTAACCCGTTGGTTTAATAATTCAGCACATTATGGCAGGCCAAAGGTCGAACTTTCCAGAAAACCGCAAATTTTCAACTTTGCAGCATTATGCATACAGTTAAGTTCAGCGCGCCAAAAGCGCCGCAGCGCCACGAGACCTTAACAGATGTGCCTCTTGTTCCACTTTGAGCACAATGGTGTATTTTTGTATTTTGAGCATACAGTTGTGATCTATCGGTACGTTCATGTGACAACGTTGGTCTGCCGCGCGCGTTCCACGGCGCCGTCGGTTGCTGACCGTCGCACGCGTCCGCCGTATATCGCCGTGGAGTTTTCCCCAAAACCGTCGCTGCTCCGAAACTAGAAAAACTAGGAACTTGATTTTGGTGTAAATACTGACAAATGGATTTCCCAGAGTTTACTGAAAATTTGGGCGCGATCGCGCAACATGCTGGAGAGGCATCCTCACAGACCTTAGGGGGTTGTGTCCTCACCAGCGCCCCCCGTCCCCCTCCGACCATGGCGAGGGTTAAGGCACGCAGGAAAAAATGTCTGACCTGTAGCATCGATGAGAAATACCGGAGCACCCAATATGCCCGGCGGGGATTCAACTATATACGCCTAAAAGATTCGCAAACTCGACCTATTTTGTTCCCTGCGCGTTGGCTATAGTTCGCATCCACCCGAAACGCACCCGTCGAGTGACATATTGTTTCCATTTGTGAGCTGATGCGTGATCACCGTCTGGTAACAGTCAGCGGCAAACGTTTCAATGAGACCATCAGACACCCTCCATCCGCCAGATCTATGAATTCCTAACAGATCCCCAGTTCGGGCGCTGCGCCGCAGCTAACCCACTCCTCGCTCCCCACCTTAGCCGGCCGCACGGTTACTGTTGTTGTCAGTGCGCCGGTCAACCGGTTCGCTTTGATTGATTTATGGCCACCAGCGCGCCGTCCTGCGTCCCGTGCCCAGTCGGTCTGACGGCTGCCCCACTGACGACGGCAACAACACACTCTTACTCATCTAGGTTGCCCACGCTGCATTCCCGTGGTCGGATGGTTGTTAGGTATTCACGAACCGTCCGCTACTCACGTTACGCATTTACGGCCGTTTTCAGTCCTCCCTCTCCCATTGTCACGCACTGTGAGGCTAGGCAACCGCATCCCTGCTGCCATGGTACCACTGTCTTAAACGTAATGCCTTAAAGAGATAACGTCCTGCCTGACCCTAACTGAGCTTGGAGGTGCGAGACGAAGATGGGATGCATCGCTTGCCATGGAATCCTGCCGACGGTACACGGTTTTTATGTTTTAAAACATCCAGTCGCTGTCGCCCGCTCTGCCGATCTAACTAAACCTTCATTCATTTCAGTCGGCTCGTCTTATGCGTTCGTGCCAAGCGCAATTGATCAACCCACGCCTCCCCGACTGACCCAACTGCCTCTCAACGCGATAGAAGCCTCACTTCTGGTGTACACGGAGCTCTCACTCCCCATGTCATTCAGCGCGTCGCCATCACGGATTCTACCTGATGCGTAACACAGACCCACAGTTAAACACGACATTCGTGTACCTGGCCAGGAGGGCTATTTCGGTCTCTTCAATGCGCGTTCGCCTTCATGTCAGTTCCCTTCATATCGACCCACGACAAACGCATCAGTCGGATGATGCTGTATTTCAAATCATCATCCGACAAAGTGGGAAAGCTCGCACGACCTCCCGCTGTAACATTCAGCGGCAAGTGCCCGTCTATCGGGCCACACTGCCCCAGCCGGCCACGGAACGTGGCGACCGGCTGCGTGACTTAGAAGTGAGGGTCGGGTGGGGAAGGGGGGGGGGGGGGGTAAATGGCAGCAAGTGCAAATTTCAAGCGTCGTTCAGCACGTGACAGACAGATAGCAGAAGTGAGTTCATTTCGCTGTTCGTTTCGATACAGACATGCTGCCGAAATACCAGTGCATCTATATTTCCATTCTTGTCGTTTTTCTCCGAGAAATAAGCCTGGTACTATTGTCTTATCTACGTGAATATACCTCACAAATGCCCTTAACAACTTCAATATACTCTTCGACACGTCATTGTTGTTACATCAGCGTGATGGTACATAATCGCACTTTGCACAACATTGATTGAGAGCCAATCGACGGCCGTCATATCTGGAAACGATGCTCATTGCGCAACGATAACGCAGAAACGGCGCTGGGGAGTCGAGGCGGCGGGGTGCGTGCGGCACTCGGGAGCTCGCTATTGTAGTGATTAAAATTCGAAGGTAGGAGCATGAATCTACCTGTTTTACGATTACTTGTGATATGTTCCGCCTTAAACACGACGAATGATGTAGAATGATTTTTTCTAACATTAGGTACCAATGTATACCTACACCGACATGCGGTTTCACATGCTAACCTGCTGTGGCAATTGGCTGATGGCTCTGGCTTTCACTCTCATCCTCCCAAAACGCAAGCCATCGGATCAGTCTCGGACCCATTCCTGCCAACCTGGAGGCGACGCTGCTGGTGCTCACCCAGGTTGGCGCCATCAGCCGGAGGGCGCCGCGAGATGCATGCTCATGTATGCTGCAAGTGTATGAGCCCTTGGCTCATACACTTGCATATGTGTGATAACTACTATAGACCAATAGTAGTATCACATCGTCCTCACTACGCGGATGACATTACCTGCCAGTCCAGAATATGTGAATTTCATACTTACCGGGTAGATAACACTCCTCTGTTAATTAACTACAAAAGCTTCTTCAGACAAGTTTCTGAATGGCTTCCCCTCAATCCCTTCCCACCACCAACCGACTGACCTTACCGCCCCTCAGGAGCAACTCGCAATCCGTTTGGAGCCCAAAATGGCGTAGGCTCTCCATCCCCGTCGAACAGAAACAAATCACAAGCTACTTCCACCTCTAACCAACCGTGTTTCCACCGCTTGAGCCTTGATAACCCGGCTCTACTTCTTCGCGTCCAGGTGTATGAAACTTCGCAGAGTTTAAAACCAATCGTTACCAAAAATGCTCCCCTCTTAGAAAGTTTTAGTACTAAATATCCTCAGCATCTTGTTGATTCCTCCGAGCGAAATGCATAACATAGATGGCTTAGTTGGCCTTGAATCAGTGTTCCGCCAGGGCCTCGTTGGGAGGGGCTGGTGTTGCTGGCCGTTATGCATTGCATGGTAATTTTTCTTGGCAGTTCTTGCATAAATATCCATTGGGCTCTGAAGCTCTTTTGATGACACTTTTTCCATGTTTTCACTCTAAAATCTTGCAGGAATTACAACTACCAGCAAGATAGTCATTTAACAGGTAGGTAGGTGGGTGGGTACATGCCTGACCGGACTGGCACGTAAGGACAGCACATTGGGGGCCCCAGTGCATTAACCATGTATTAAGTGCAAAAACGTGATCACCATGATTGCTGCAACATGACATGATTTTGCAATTTGGCATGATTGTGAAGATTTTGAAAGGTCAGATGCCAGACTGCAAACAGTTGTTATACCAGACATGTCAGGATTGGGGTTAAGGGTAGACCTAAAATTGTCTTGCATGCAGGCTTCAAATGTGAGTAGCCCACAAGAGATGATCCAATATTGCTAGTTAAACTGCATGGTGAGCAGACATTTCAAGGGGTTAGCATATTTCTGGTAATCTATAGCAAATATTGCCTGAAGTAAACTAAGATGTTGTCCCCAAACATAGTATCTTTGAAGTTCTCCTTGATTTAGTCAGGAATCTTACTGGCACACACCTGCATGATGCCCAGAACATTGATACCAGGATAACTATTGGTCAATAGCATTCAGGACATTGATGTCATTTGGATATATGGCATAGTGGATACATTTTGTCTTGCAAACTGGGCTGTATCAGGGTGTAAGAAGCATTTTTATGAAAATGCTTTCAGGCATATTAGCTTCCCAAGCCTTAGAAATCATAATTCCTCACTGACCAGTGCAATTGCTAGATGTGCACACAATGATTATGTGGGATTGATGGTTGCCACAGCGATGGCCTAGTCTGGCTTATATGACAGATAAATGGCTTGGTGTAGAGTTTTCCAGTTATTGATGGAACTGACACTCAGATAATTCCATTATTCTGGGCAGTGATGCACCATCACAGGTCATTCAGCCAACATGCCTTTGCATGGCTGGCATGCAAGTGGATAACCTAATTGGGCAAGCCAACTAAGTAACATATTAGTTAGGATTCCAGTAAGCAGACATTTTAGCCACCCTCTAAACATAATGTTTCTAAGTGCTTTTATCTGGAAATTGCCCTCAAAGCATCATAATTCTCAGAAAGATTGACTGTGCTGAAATGAGTGCAGTCCATGTGCCATACTGAGCAGCTGAGAGCTTGGGTTGCAGGGGGAGTTATGAAACACATGGCCATACTGTGCAGATTGGATTTTGCCACTACATCAGACATGTCATTTGGACATTTTGTTCAGCTTAACATATTTTTTTGCATTGCAATCAGGTCAGGAATGGGGTAAGCAGCACAATATTTTATATGCATGGATGACAAATTGCTGCACTTGCAGCATGTGGTTTCTTCATCATTGAAGAAGTGTTGTTCAGTCATGTTTAGTATAATTCACTGTTTCATTGTTGCAGGCAGATATGGATTCTGTGAGGGTTGCAGTGCGGGTACGGCCTTTCAATCAAAGGTATGTAATAGCTGTTGCACGTGGGGGTTGATGTTAATTTTAATGATGATTTTTAACAAAGTTAAGCCAAGCAAGCAAAGCCAGAATTGCTTAAGTGACTGAGTAACTTCAAGAGATGAATAAGGCATCATCTGTATGCCTACACATCCACACCATTCTCAAATGCTTGGCATGGCTTTAGACAGTACCAAGCATGTTAACTTTTAATGTATATTTTATGCAAGGCTGCCTAAATAATCACACCCCTAGAAGCAAAGGTATTTTCCCCCAATTGTTTGATGATTTTGGAAGGAAATTTTTTTTTTGTATTTCCATAATCACATCATTCTCTGTCTGCCAAGTCAATGACTGCATGTGCAGTCTCATTGTGTGATGTGTATTTTCAGGGAAATTGACCTGAATGCTCAGTTATGTATCTCCATGAAAGGAAAGAAGACCATGATCACAAATCCAAAGGTATATATTTTCATCTCAGTGATAAGTACATGTCCATAATTCCATGATAGCTCTTGTGTTCAATTATGATTGCACTAGCATGTTTTTCCCCCTGCTGCATTCTCAATGACCACAACAATGTTACAACATTAGCAGCCACCTTCTTTGCATGCAATGAGAGTAGCAACCATTGAGTCAGGCTGGTGATGCAGATACCATGGGTTTGATCTCCAGTAGCTTTTTACACTGATCCCAGTCATATATCTTTTATGACCTCCCAACCAATGAGTCTTGGGGGCCCATTAGCATGTTTTGACAGCTGGGGAGCTGAGGATGCACAAAGATAAGCTGTCTGAGTGAATGAAATGTCACCAATCAGCAGCAGTGGTCAATCCATGCTTAGCTTGCATATTGTTCTGTTTCCATGTATTATCCATGCAATTTTCATTAATGTTGTCATGTGTCATTTCAGCAAGGTGAACGTGTGGACACCACCCAGTGTGATGATGTCAAGGAGTTCACCTATGATTTTTCTTACTGGTCATTTGATCCACATCATAGAATCTTCCATTCACAAGAAGAGGTAAGTGATGTTTCCAGACGGATAAGTGAGGTGCCTTTATAATGCCTGATTATATAGCAACATTGGATGCATTCAAGCCTGCGTGTGACTCACAATTACACACCAGCAGGCAGTTTTACTACAGTAAACCATCCTTTCATAGAATGCTGACAGCATTACAAAGTCTTGAATTGCATGCAACCCTGTTTTGTGAGTCATGCCATGCATTAGGTATGTTTGTCTGAGGTGTGATGGCAAGTGACACATAACATTACCGGATGCCCCGGTACTGTAGAAGTAGTCAGTCCTGTAAGGAAAGCACAGCCCACCCCACACTATCCGCACTCTCATTAATGATTGCAGTACAAAGTTATCTCAGGATGGAAAATGGTGGTGATGCTTTCTGGAATACCTATTCAAAAAGCTGTAAGTCTGGCCATTTAATGTCCATTTAGGTCAGCAGACAAAGCCAGAGGAAGTAATGGTCACACTCGGATGTAGTCAGATCTAGCTCAGTCACACCTTTATGAAGGCCAACAATCACCACCTAGAAAGGTAATGCTTCCAGCATTTGTATGGCCTCATAGTTGCAAATTAGTTACCAGACGCACAGGCCAAAAGATATAGGAGTTAAATCTTTGGTCAAACTTGACTAACTGCGATGGCTTAGAAAAGTCGATGATGTTGTTTGGGGAAAAGATGATTCATATTTTATTGAACAGGGTGGTGGCTTCAGGACAGGTTAAGGTGGAAAATGGTTGCCCTTTATTTAAGCAGATGTAAACGACAAACTTTGACCAAGAATTTGGGCATTGGCGCAAGATAGTTTCTTGCTATGAAATCGGACATTAACTTTTTCATCTATGGTATGTTGTCTAGAATATGGAAGTCGAATCCGGCCAAAGTACAAGCCCGGAGGTACGAATAAACACTGGTATGTTGTCAGTATCCGATCAGCGGTCTTTGGCTTCACAAAACGTGTTTTGTAACATCATACTTATTGCCTTCCCCTCGGTAGTCTCAGAAATGAAGTGCTCATTGAGCTGAAAGATCCACATTCCTCAAGCCACCGTGTACCACTGAGATGGCAACCTATGGCCGTGACAGCGTGACCGGGAAGGACGGTGCCGGAGGGACAGCTGAACGTGTCCGGAGAGTTCTGTCGGGGGCTGTTCGGTAGGCCGGTGCCGAAGAGACGAACGTGTCCGGAGAGTTCTGTCCGTGGCTCTCCAGTAGGCTGATGCCGAGGAGACGAACGTGTCCGGAGAGTTCTGTCCGGGGGTCTCCAGTAGGCCTGTGTCGAAGAGAGGAACGTGTCCTGAGAGTTCTGTCTGTGGCTCTCCATTAGGCCGATGCCGAAGAGACGAACGTATCCGGAGAGTTCTGTGTGTGGCTCTCCAGTGGGCCGGTGCCGAAGAGACGAACATGTCCAGAGAGTTCTGTCCGGGGCTCTCCAGTGGGCTGATGCCGAGGAGACGAACGTGTCCGGAGAGTTCAATCCGGGGCTCCTCAGTGGGCCGGTGCCGAAGAGACGAACGTGTCCGGAGAGTTCTGTCCGGGGCTCTCCAGTAGGACGGTGCCAAAGAGACGAACGTGTCCGGAGAGTTGTGTCCGGGGCTCTCCAGTGGGCTGATGCCGAGAAGACGAACGTGTCCGGAGAGTTCTGTCTGGGGCTCTCCAGTGGGCCGACGCCGAAGAGACGAATGTGTCCGGAGAGTTCTGTCCGGTGCTCTCCAGTAGGCCGGTGCCGAAGAGACGAACGTGTCCGGAGAGTTCTGTCCGGGGCTCTTCAGTGGGCTGATGCCGAGGAGACGAACGTGTCCGGAGAGTTCTGTCCGGGGCTCTCCGGTGGGCCGATGCCGAAGAGACGGACGTGTCCGGAGAGTTCTGTCCGGGGCTCTTCGGTAGGCCGGTCCCGAAGAGACGAACGTGTCAGGAGAGTTCCGTCCGGGGCTCTCCAGTAGGCCGATGCCGGCGAGACGAACATGTCCGGAGAGTTCTGTCCGGGGCTCCGCAGCAGCGAAGTTACGGCACCAGCTGGCTCGTCGGTGCGTCGCGTTCTGGTGACAGGGGGTAGCTGTTAAGGGCGTCGACGCCGGTATAGAAGCGAAAGCAAAACGGAGATGTCACCTGCCACCTGCTACTTACCCATTTATTTGTAGTGACAGCTGTCATACCGTTCGACGTCGAGGAGCGCATTTGGAATGCTCTCGACACCCGCTGAGCGGCTCACCACTCCCTGCCCTGAAGACACGGGCGGACGCTCGGACGATGGGCGTGGGGCACAGCGGAGAGGCGCCGGCGGCCGTAAGTGGAGAGGGAGTTACGGTGCAGTGGGCTCAGTGCTCAGTGACACGAACTTTCCTTTTTACGGTGTCGGCAGGAGGAATAGTTTCCAGACAGGCGGCATTTTAGGTACTTAGGTACGCATCCATAGATACGTTAGATTTTGCGATCATTGACGACTGATGTCACGCTTCTTATCAACATCGACAGCTGTAAATGTGTTGAAGGTTAGCTTTGGTTGCTTGTGTTTGAGGGCTGGCGGCGTGCTTTCACGTGTAACGTGTTTCCTTCGTCTTGTCATGGCGTCCAGCTGGGGCTCGTGAACCTTATGGTCCGTCATGCCATGCGACGGTCTGATTTGCACATTTGGTACTGTACAGACAAGGCATGGACGCCATATGGCCATTGTAGCCGGTCCGCCCCAAAGCCCAAATTATCATCATCATCTGCAGACAGAGCTTGTCTGTAGGCTCAGTGATCCAGATCTGTGTTCTGCATTGCACTAATCAGTGTCATGAATACTTCGCAATGCCTACGAGAATGCGAAAACACTCAGTAGAGCTGTCTCTCTCAGCCTTGCAGAAATTCTGCGGGTTTTGAAATGATCCTCGCTATATTTGTTTTTCCTCCTCTAAGATGCTACTCACATGTCGACGCCTGCAACATACGGGGTACTGCGCTTCGAGACACTGTTGGGCTTGAACGCCAGCCAAGGTTTCATGCAATGATTCAAACCCAGACCTGATCGTTCCTTTGCCATGTAGAACCTACTCCTACACCCGAAATGTCCTATTTCAGCAGATGGCGAACTAAGCCCAATTTAGGCTGGACCAGCACGTGCGTCTTGACTCAGGAATACATGACATACCATATTGCCGAGTGCTTTCCACGAGAGCTAAGAGATGCCAGTGAGGATCAAGAGGCCAATGTATCCCGATACACCTCATGAAACCAAATCCACTCAATGTCTCTCATACGCAGACATTTGAACTAAACCTAGCATGGCTGTTGTGCTGTAGTGTGATGATAACATGGCGTGGCACCTTTAGTTGCAGTACCTAGCATGGCTGTTGTGCTGTAGTGTAATGATAACATGGCGTGGCACCTTTAGTTGCGTACCTAGCATGGCTGTTGTGTTGTAGTGTGATGATAACATGGCGTGGCGCCTTTAGTCGCGTACCTAGCATGGCTGTTGTGCTGTAGTGTGATGATAACTTGGCGTGGCACCTTTAGTTGCGTACCTAGCATGGCTGTTGTGCTGTAGTGAGATGATAACTTGGCGTGGCACCTTTAGTTACGTACCTAGCATGGCTGCTGTGCTGTAGTGTGATGATAACATGGCGTTGCACCTTTAGTTGCGTACTGTTCCGACGCAATACCATAATTTGATACTGCCATGTAGGTCATGCCTATCTTCGGTGACGCGGGCGTGTACCAAAGATCTGAGCTAAGTCGTGCACAATGTCACGCTAGCTAGATGTGTTGCTCGACTAAACTTGAGCGACGGATGCCGCACCTGACTGTCTGCCAGCTGTGTGTATAGACCAGTGGCGCACTGAGCGTTTCTCATGGGGAAGACACCACTCATTTTGTTTTCGCCGAAAACCGAATTGAGCGGACCTTAGTCGTGCGCAATTGACGTCAAACAACATGCATGTGCTCGATCTTCTTTTTGCGTGTCGATCTGGATTTTTTTTAAGCTGTAAACTTTGAGTCACATAGTTTTAATGCGTGCCATAAATTTGGTTAGGGGGGGGGGGGGGGTACTCGCCCGAAAGTGGTATCGGGTATATAACATTATGCTGGAGCAGACCCATGTGACATCAGTTTTCCTCCCATTTATCGCGTGCGATCGGTGTGTTTCAGATCTACCTCAACCTGGGCGTGGACGTGGTGGACAATGCGTACCTGGGCTACAACGCCTGCGTCTTCGCCTACGGGCAGACGGGCAGCGGCAAGACGTACACCATGATGGGCACGGCGGTGAGGGCGGCGTGCGGACGGCTGGGACTGGCGGGAGCGGGCGGCGCCGCTCCGGGCTGCTGCACCGGTGGGGGCGGGGCGGGGTTGGTGGGCGGCGGCCGCTCGCCGGCCTGCGTGGGCCGCCGTCCCGGGCCGCTGCAACGGTGGAGCTCTGCCGCAGCCCTGCAGCTCTGCTGCGTGGGCTTATGTGGAGTGTCGGGTGCGAGATCGCCCGCCTCCAGTCAGCCTTGAGGCCGATGGTCAGTGGACGGCGGTAGTTGTAGTTTGTGGCTGGGACGGAGACTTGTGAGGGGACTTTGCTTGCCATCCCCGCACCGCCGTCGCCGACCGTCGCACGCGCCGTCCGGTCCGAGGCCGGTGGGTGACAAGGCTACCGCTCGGCACGCCGACCGTCGCCCACGCCGTCCGGTCCGTGGCCGGTGGGTGACAAGGCTACCGCTGGGCACGCCGACCGTCGCTCACGCCGTCCGGTCCGAGGCCGGTGGGTGACAAGGCTACCGCTCGGCACGCCGACCGTCGCCCACGCCGTCCGGTCCGAGGCCGGTAGGTGACTAGGCTACCGCTCGGCACGCCGACCGTCGCCCGCGCCGTCCGGTCCGAGGCCGGTGGGTGACTAGGCTACCGCTCGGCACGCCTAACGGCGTCGCAACGGCTGGCTACATTACGTAACCGGCCAGTTGGGTCTGGTTGGCTGATATTAGGTGCGCAGTCAGTTGAGCTCCGCCGCTGGTCGGGCCGGGTCCGTGATCGCCGCCGCTGGGTGGGGGAGGGTCCGTGTTCACCGCCGCTGATCGGGCCGGGTCCGTGTTCGCCACTGCTGGTCGCGCCGGTTCCCTGTTCTCGGTAATCTGCACTATGCACCGTCCATTTTTTATTGGTCTCATGCCGTCTGCGACGGTGGCCATGCTTTTAAATGTACTCCTGGCATGCATTGGAACCGGCGGGTTGTCCGGACTCATTCTTGCAAGAAATGAAGGCATGTTATGGAGCAGTGACGTAAACAAGTTGGATTGTGTCGGATTGTGACATTGGGTAAACAAGTTCCGGCGTTGTCAGGACGCAATTTCAGGTTGAGCGATACCTGTCTGCGCGACTGGAGGGGGGGGGGGGGGGGGGGGGGCAGCGCAGTGGGGGATTCCCGTCTCGCTGTATCGCAGCTCTTCTTCGAACTAGTCCTTCTTCCACCCGGCACGAGTGGCGGAGCAGCCGGGGCGCGGCCTCCGTTCGTGAGCGTGTGTGCTGGGACCGGCCGGCATCTGAGCAGGTGCCACGTTCAGCGTGCCCTGTGGTCCCGGCGGCGGGCCGGGGCAGGGGAGGGGCGGCGCTGAGTGACGGCCCGGCGCGCGACCCGGCCTGAACGCCGCGCCGGCTGTGTCGCGCCCCCCCCCCCCGTCCACCCGCCGTGCAATCGGCCTTCCACCTGACCTCCTTGTGAGCTAAAATCGACCGACAAGGCGTGCTGTGGCTTGCATGCGAGGGCTCGACGACAACGTCACAGCTGGAGGGAAAGGAATGCGTGGGATGGCAAACAGATTAGAGGTCAGTTTTCGAGGTGTACAACATGAGCACACGATGCTGTGACAAATTTGTTAGCTGGAATCTCCCCTTTCACGCCTTTTTCTCACAATTCTCTTCCGCTCATGCCGTGTATTGAAAGTTGGCATCGTAGGTAATTGCTCGCGCGCGCTGTGTGTCCGTATAATCCAATCTCAAATTCGATCTTGCCATGTTTTCGCTGATCGACGCTCTCTTTGCTGCTTAGATACGAGAGGACGGCTGGGACGTAATTCACGGAGCTGTTCTAAATCGTGTCGTGGCCGGTCTGTGCTTCTTTTCGTGTTGAATCCATCCGGATTACACTTTGCCAAATCTCGCGCAGAGATAATTCGTACCTGCTGATATGGGCATGCCATGCTATAGAAATGTTAATGCAGACCTAAGAGTGGAAGGCAGTAAATAGCGCACACCTGGGGAGATGCAGGTTTTCTGACACCATGTGGGCAACATCTGCACCAGTTAATTTGCGGAACTTGATGCTTTTCGACGTTTGTATTTGACGCTCACTCATCGAAAACAACGCGGGTCGTCATCTGGGGTTTCGGTTAGTTGTGTCTTGTTTTGTCCTGCTCCATGTGTTATTCTGACTTCCTACCGTGCTGTGCTGCCAGGTCTAATGCCGTTTTACCTTGCCATTTTCATTCCAACATCTGTTTTCGGCGTGTCTTATTGTGAGCGCTTTACTCTGCTGCTAATGATACAACCGGTGCCTGTCACTGAAAGTTTTCTGATATTTTGTAACCAGCATTTGAGTTTTTGAGCGTATTTACAGAGGCCGGGACGGCAAATAATCTATCACGTCGATGTCATTTATGACGTCACGCCCCATGGATTCTGTGTTTTTCGGTGTTGGCAGCGACCTGGATAAAAAAGAATCATACGTGACTTCATGTAGAATCTCTGCAGGACGCGCAGAATGTTTGTCCGTTACTTAAACGGAATGTTTCACATTTGAAGGTACTGATGCAAGCATCAGATGGGATGAAATAAGCTAACTTTTAGCTGGTGGCATATTTTCAAGTGGAAAAGGCTACTCAAGGCATGACGATAACACTGTTAAGTAACCACGCTCCTCAATGCATCATTGTTTGACAACGTCATCGTGCCTTGCACAACTTGATTTAGAGCCAATGGACGACCGTTACATCTGGATATCGCGCTGACGAACGGCAGATATGAACAACTCAACAATTATATTTGTATTGCCCTTTATGGCCGCGTGGCAATTGGAAATGACGGGATTTGAATGACTATTATGGCATCATGAGTGCATGGGTAAGCTTTAAATAGTTCCCTCGAAATAGCCCGCACATCCTCGCTTGCGTGTAGCTCAGCAACTGGAGGGGTTTAGATCGTAAGGACAGGACTGCAAACTGTAACGCACGATCTTCCAAATGGCTATCTCAGTTCCAAACCCCATGCAAATGTGAAACACTCCCTTTAATCGAAGTGCGACAGAAATGACGCGGCAGGCTCATATATCAACAGAGTAGCGTGTGCGCCCACAACCGATGGCGGGTGAAGAAGAAAAAGTGCGACTCATTACAAACATCAGAATTCACAGTTTCCATGGGTGGCGCACTCGCACGGACGCAAATGCTAGGATCTTGCTTGCGCAGTCACGAAAATTACGAAAACGCTAAGTTGCGCTGCTGCATCCTGCTGCGCTGCGAACATGTCCAGCAAAGAGTCTACACGGAGCCACGTTAAGTGTCCCGTTTTTGGTGCGCTGCGAATACGCCTCTCATCTTTTTGTAGGCCTACGACTGTCGCCGTCGCTCAGTGGCTTACAACTGGTTTCTGGCTAGATCGAGAATTGCCGTCTCGTAACCACGCAGGCAGGCCGGCATGCCGCTGTACAGCCGGAACAGTGAAATGCCGGACAGTCGGGACGTATTGTACCGTGCGGTCGGGACGTGTTATGCCGTGCAGTTGGGACGTGTCGTGCTGTGTAATCGGGACGTGTTGTACTGTGTAATCTGGACGCGCTGTGCTGTGGAGTCGGGACGTGTTGTGCTGTGCAGTCGGGACGCGTTGTGTTGTGTAATCGGGACGTGTTGTGCTGTGCAGTCGGGACGTGTTGTGCTGTGCAGTCGGGACGTGCTGTGCTGTGCAGTCGGAACGTGCTATGCTGTGTAATCGGGACGTGTTGTGCTGTGCAGTCAGGACGTGTTGTGCTGTGGAGTCGGGACGTGTTGTGCTGTGTAATCGGGACGTGTTGTACTGTGTAAGCGAGACGTGTTGTGCTGTGGAGTCGGGACGTTGTTTGCTGTGCAGTCGGGACGTGTTGTGCTGTGCAGTCGGGACGCTTGTGCTGTGCAGGTGGACTATTTGTGTCGTGATGCGGGGATGTGTTGTGCTTACAGTCGGGGACGTGTTGTGCTGTAGGAGTCGGGACTGTTGTGCTGTGGCAGTCTGGACGTGTTGTGCTGAACAGTGCGGTCGGGACGTGTTGTGCTGTGGAGTCGACGTGTTGTGCTGTGCAGTCAGGACGTGTTGTGCTGTGCAGTCGGGACGTGTTGTGCTGTGCAGTCGGGACGTGTTGTGCTGTACAGTCGGAACGTGTTGTGCTGTGGAGTCGGGACGTGTTGTGCTGTGGAGTCGGGACGTGTTGTGCTGTGCAGTCGGGACGTGTTGTGCTGTGGAGTCGGGACGTGTTGTGCTGTGCAGTCGGGACGTGTTGTGCTGTGGAGTCGGGACGTGTTGTGCCGTGCAGTCGGGACGTGTTGTGCTGTGGTGTCGGGACGTGTTGTGCTGTGCAGTCGGGACGTGTTGTGCTGTGCAGTCGGGACGTGTTGTGCTGTGCAAAGGGGCCTGGCTGCACCATGCGGCGAGGGCAGTTTTGAGCCGCGCGGCTGGCCCATTGCTGCGCTCGGTCGTGTAGCCGGCTGGGTGCCTTGAGCGCTGACGGGGGCCGTGCCGCAGGTGGAACGGGGCCTGATCCCGCGCATCTGCTACCGGCTCTTCGACAAGATGGAGAGCTCGTGTGACGTCCGCTACCGCACCGAGGTCAGCTACTTGGAGATCTACAACGAACAGGTGCGTGACCCGCCTGGTGCCGCGACTGCTGCGATGCCGGCAGGGCGGCGAAATACGCCGATCGTCCGAGACGGTCGGGTCTGTGGGCCACTGCCGCTGCCTGTGACAATGGTGGCGTGCTACCTGGGAGGGGTGGCGCGGGTACTGTTGCCGAGCCGTGCCGCCAGGCATCGGCCTGGCTGGAGCCGACAGGTGCCGACGTTTACCGTTCTCTGCGGGCCGGTGCAGTGTCGTCGGGTGGGCGGGCAGAGCCGTCGCGCTTGGCAGCGAACGGCGCTCCGTTCTGCGCGGTACGGACGTGACTGAGCGGCGCCTTGTTGTCCGTCTGATTGCTCTGACTGCGGTGCGTAGGTGAAGGACCTGCTGCAGGACCAGCAGAGCCACTCGCTGCGCGTGCGCGAGCA